TTCCCCTGATGACAGCTAGTCATTATCTGGAAAGAAGCTTGGGTTTTGTTTTGGTTTTTTCTTGTATACAACATTCTGGTGTATTTTTTCATGTGAAGCTGATGAATTATTTTCTGATGATTCTACTGCTCTGGCTGCCTGGATATGAACACAATTGTCTATATTTATTGCATAAACATACTGTTATGAATCTGAATGTTACTTTAAGGGTTAATCATTAGGATTCAACTAATGAGAAAGGCTTCAGCTCAGGTAACTTTAGCTTAGACTAGAGACCTGTTTTTTAAATGACTTTTCATCTAGATTTTTCTGTAGTCAATAGCAAGAGACAAGTTTTCCCAGCTGTAAAGTCAACCCAAAGTGAAATGGAGCTGAACTGCACTCTGTAGGTTGCTAACATCCCACTGATTACAGAAAGGGGTCTAAACATTAATCTTAGATGTAATATTTAACTTTTTTAAACAGCTTAAGGCAGATCAGATGAGTCCTAGCTCCTAAACACAAGATGCTCAAGCAACAGTCTTGGGACAACAGTTTGTTCCTGAACTGGCATTTATCAATGGGGAAAAGAGTGAGAAAATCCCTAGAAAGAGAATTTGGGAATGCTTCTGGAGAGGAAGGCTTCAGCTCAGGTAACTTTAGCTTATACTGGAGACCTGCTATTTAAATGACTTCTCATCTAGATATTTCTGTAGTCAATAAAACTCAACACCCCACAAAAAACCAAACCAAAACAAAAAAAACACAAGTGAGTGCCTATATTTGCACTGGAAAACTTACTGCAAACAAGTAGCATTTTGTGCTGAACGCAGAGAAATACTTTAGTCTCTTGATCTATGAAGAGGATATCAAATCTTGATCACTCCTATTCTTGTATAGCTGCATAGCAGAGATTTCTGCATATATTGTCTATATTTACATCCTATCTAAAAAAAGTAAAAAAGTCTGCAAGATTAATACTTTGATACTTTCCATCATCCACTGACCCTTTTCCTGCTGGTCTGATCCCTGTAGCTCCACGTGATGCACTTTATGCCTCCTTGTCTTTTGGTAAGGAAGGCAATTACAGGAGTTTGTAGGGGCAAACTTTGAGTGATCTGGATATGTATTTTGAAGGACCAAGCAAGTTTCTGGAGAGAAAGTCAGAGGCCATATGCAATGACAACTCTTCTAATACAGTATTAAACTTCTATTTATAAAACCAACAGGAATCCTCTCTCACACCAATTTTTCTGCTGCTTCATCTTTCAGGTTCTCTGCCTTAAATATATTCTTCTCTTGAAAAATTCTCTGTAGTGTTACTAAACCAAATCTTGTGACATTTAATACATTGATCAAAGCCAGTGTGTAGCATGTGATCACTCCTTGCCTTTGTGGAAACCACCTTGTTGTCTAAAATCATCTGAGTTTCACTGCAAGATTTAATCATTCTAGTAGCTTTCTTCTCATCCTGGAAGGTCTTGAACCAAGATGATCAATCTTCAAGTCCCGAAGAATAGATGGACTATAGTGTCCCATTTCACTTAAGATTTCTCTGTCATTGGTGACCTGTTAATTCCCTCATCGTGAAAAGCTGATCTCCACAACAAGCCTATTGTATATACAAATTTTTCAGACCTTGGAAAAGATGTCTTCATTTTGTTATCACTGAATAGATCTACTTGTCCTAAAACTGCTTCAGTTTCTTCATTTTTGTAGTTTATTTCACAGTTGTCTTCATTTGACAGTGATCACCACAATGAGAAGCATGCTTTATTGCTCTGTATGTTTTCCTTCACATTGAAGACCTCACAAACTCACACCCTCTAACATCTTATCATAGAATGGCTTAGGTTTTGAGGGGACCTTAAAGGTCATCTATTTCCAACCCCCCTTCCATGGGCAGGGACACCTTGCACTAGACCAGGTGGCTAAAAGCCACATCCAGCCTGGCCTTGAACACTTCCAGGGATGGGGCATCCACAGCTTCTCTGGGCAACCTGTTCCAGTGCCTCACCACCCTCTTCGTGAAGAATTTCTTCCTTATAACTAATCTAAATCTACTCTCTTTAAATTTAAAGCCATTGCTCCTTTCCTGTCACTACAGGCCCTTATAAAACGTCCCCTTCCAGCTTCCTTGTAGGCCCCTTCAGGTATTGGAAGGCTGCTCTAAGGTCTCCCTGGAGCCTTCTCTTCTCCATCTTCATGCCCATCAGTTTATATTGCCCTTCTGACTCATTATTATCACTCAGTTAGTTTTTTGGTGCACTTTTTTTTGCATTAAAATCCTTTTCAGTGATGTGCCATGATTCCACATTCTTCTTGACCATCCTTCTCAAAATTAATTCCTCTTTCAAACTTAAGTTTTATTACTAATTAGATGTGAGAATTTCTTTTTTCCTACTTTATCCCCCAAAACCCCCACAACACACATTCAGTTCTCTTCTACTTCCTCACCTTTATTTTCCATGCCCTTTCAAAACTTGCTCATTAACTGTCATCTTCTCCTGTATATATTTTTCCTATATATGGTAGCTGAGTGACTGAAGAATTCAAATTTCAGAGAAATGCCAAGGGGTTAAGACATTCATCTTGTAAAGCACTACTGCTCTAAAACAAGGACTCTGAAAGAATAGAGAAGTGATAGTGATGCAGAAAAGAGATCACAGGATTCTCCCTGACTTAGTAGAACACAAACCAATTGTTGGGACCCTGTACTCACCATCAATTTAACCTTTAAAACACCTCAGTCGATTGATCAGATCAAGATTCTGACCCCAAAGCAAGCACTATGGAAACCACTTTTTAAACAAGTGCGTAAGTCCAAACATGAGGCTGCCCTACACATTCTGTGATGAGTAATTTGCCATGTATATCAACATGTAACATCTCATATTTTTTTACAAAGAAGGAAGTAATCCCTGATTTTTGCTCTCTACATTTGTCTGCTATTTGGTTGTCTTTCCCCCATGCCATGAATTCCTCAGGAAACATTAGGGTGGGCAATATTAATAGCATTCACTTAGACTTTTCTAATTCTTCACTCAAATCCATGCTTTTATCTTCTCACATCATTTCTTCAGTCCTGGCGGTGCTGATACAGCAGTACTAGCTGTGCGTCTCCATACTCACACAAGTCCATATGCCACTTCCATATTTGCACACATATATACATTTTGTCAACAAGAATATTCAGAAGGCCGGACAAAACCTTTTACATAAAGGTTTTGTGCATCCATCTTTTCTGACAGGGAAACCCACATTACATTACCTTCTGGGTCAAAGATAGATCAATCAGTAATACATAGTAGAGATGAGGGTTCAGTAATTAATATTAAAAAAAAAAAAACAAACCAACACCTGCCACAGCTCTAATGTTCAGTGCTCAGTTCACATTGGAATTCTGTATGCTGGAAACTGCAGTATTCCTACTGGAGTCTGCACTCTTATGAAAGCTGCAAAGTCATCATGTGTGTCTTTTTATATTCATTTTGACTTTATCATCTTAAGACAAATGTCTTAAGAACTTCCATCATGGAGGGGTACTGCCACAGACAGAGCTCTGAGGTAGAAATAGATCCTTCTTTCAAAGAGTGCACCAATGACACCAGAAATGCTACGAAACAAAAATATTCCATCTGACCAAGATAACTCCTTAAAGAGAGAATAAGTAGTTGTGTGAGTGAGACCCTTCTCTTGCAAGGTCTGCACAAAAGTCTCCATCTTTGTCCACTATGCCTTTGCACGGTGACCCTCCCCAGACTTACCTCTCCTACCAGCAAGTTTAGTGGCTTCAGCTGAGAATACTGCACAGATACTTCTCTACATATGTCTTTCTTCTGGTCACCAGTACTGTTTGTCCTTCAGCTCTGCCTTCATCTGTGCCTCTCAGAAACTTGATAGCTGCAGTGGCTTCTTCTCTCCTTCAGCTCAACCTGTCTGCCCTTCTCTCCTGCACCTAAGTGCCTCTTGACCATGTGTGCACAATTCACCTCTTCCCAGAGCTGCCCCACACTGCACCATCCAGGAATGGGATAAAAGACAGGCTTTCTTGCCATGGCTTAGCTCCACATTTTTTTTTTCACAAATGTGCAATTAACAAATATTTAAGCAGCAAGGTGAACAAGCAAATCAAATAATTATACCATCTTTCCCCTGTGAAGTGTTCAGAGCACATTTGCACTCTTATGTTCACTAGCAAATTCCTTTTACGTTACTCTTTTCAGTGGTATTAGTAATTGCCTTTAAGACCACCAGAGTCATGAGGCTGTCGGAAGGGTTACTGATGCTGATAAGATGGCAAGTACATGCAATTCTAGCTGTATGTTGTCACCGAAGGAAAAATGTCTTTGGTCAGTAAATCTGTAAGAGGACAGTGGAAGGAATCATCAGAGGAACAAAATGTGTCACTTTACCACAATTCCTCACCTCCATTTCGAGTATAGTGAGAGATGACTGAAAGTGAATGGTGGAAAGAACTGGGTAGCCTGCCTTACCATGTACATAGTAATTGCTTGGAAATTCCTTTCCAGTGTTTTACTGATTATTTATTTGGTTCACAGCACATCTGACTCTTCTTTTACTCCTGGCTATGCACATGAGTTATTCATTTAATAGCCTGCCATAGACCCAGTAGTTAAAGAAAGCACTGAACAGGAAAGGCCAAGCATCCTCATCATTAGACAATATAACTGCCTAAGTAGTGGTGTTTCTCTTTCTAATAATAATTCCAATGCTTCAGACATGCTAATGGAGCTGAAGCACTGTGACACATTACATAGAGAGGATAGCAAGACCCTCTGGTAACATTTTCAACATTGATACAAAAAAATGCTCATAAAAAGCAATTAATTTTTTGTGGAGCTTAGTTGTTGCTTGCAAAGACATTGATGTATTATGGTAGCCCCAGCAGTGCCCTTGTATACAAAACATTTATGTAGCCCATTATATACTTAAAGCATCATGACAACAAGCTAAAAGTGTACAAAGGAGGAAAATGATTACTTTTGCTTATTTTGTAGCCAAAAGCTGGGTCTCTTGGATCGGGTTCGTGGTACCAATACTAAAGGAAAGCTATTTACCCCTCTGAATGTAGATGCCATTGAAGAAAGTCCTTCAAAAGAGCCTAAGAATGTTGTCTTGAATAATAAGGAGCGTTTTCGCACTGCATTCCGAATGAAAGCGTACGCTTTTTGGCAAAGCTCAGAAGGTAGCCCATCTGTGTTGATTTCTTTCTATCCATCCCCTATTCTCCCCATTTTACTTTCTTCCTCTGCATCTTCTGTTGAAGGTTTCTGACATTCTGGGCCAAGCATGGCTGGTCCCTGGTTTTACATGACACTTTTGGGGAGTCTTCTTCAGGAAATGAATGCTGGAGTCCAGACAACACAATGCTTGAAATAAGACAATGGCCCATCAGAAACCAACATTCAGTATAAGATACAGCCAGTGGTGTAATCAACCTATTTGACCTGGAACAAGACAGCACACTGGGCAGTGATGCTATGCTAAGGTAGCTCCCTCCTGGACTGCATCCAGCCCTGCACTAGCCTGTGTCCAGGCATCTCAAATATCTCCTGACTGCAATCTTTTAAAACCTTGTTTTATACACGCAACGTCTGCTTCCCTCCCACTCTCCCCAAGACTTCTGCCCCTCAGCAGATTCCCATTGGGTGTCCGTGTAATGCAATAGGACATTTTTCCTCTCAGCTTCCCTGGGCACACATTTCCCTCTTATTGTCTATAGTGTCTAAATGGCCTCCAAATAACAGTTTCCCCTTTATTGTGCCAGCTGGCATCAGTGCATGCTGGGCAGACTACTGTGGATGTAGTCTGGATGTCCACATTGGGAACTTGATTATCCTCTTCCATGAAGCTACGTGAGCTCCAAGTAGTGCAAGTGGGAGAAGAACTTGGCCTGTAGCTCCTGTACCTGTTTTAGCCTTATGTAACATAATTTTGGGAAAGATTCAGAGCTCCTAAAAAAATCTCCTAAAAGTGAGAATTTCTAAATCTGTTGGAAAGGAAGAAAGTTCCCAAATTTCATAAATGCTGCCACCTGAGAGGAGCTCCCTCAAATAATGTATCTTACACCTGTCCCAGCAGAATTATGAAATCCCTTTTAAGAGCTGACCAGAGAAAGAGAAACCTGCAAGAGATGTTCCTTTAGTAAATTACACTTACTTTATGTAGTGCTTTAGTTATCCAGACCCCCTTCTAAACATTCTGTGGAACAATATTCACACAGGGTTTTTTTAACCTGCTTTGCAGATGCAGGAACAGGAGAACCCATGGCAGAAGAGAGAGGTGACGGTAGCGACTTCCTTATGGAAGATATGATCCCCACATTCAAGACAGCCATCCGAGCTGTCAGGTAAATGTCTCTGATGCTCCTCACCGCTTTGCCTTTGAATGCTTATGCTTCAGGAAATACATTGCCATATTGCTATATTCATTGTTGCTGGGTTTTGTTGTTTTGGGTTTTTTTTAATGCAATAGTTTAGATAATTCTAGATATATTCAAAAGCACAAGACAGACCCTATTTAAAGTCCTCTTTGAAAATATGTGGGAAGGAAAATGTTTTTCAGTAACATTGACCATGCCATTTTTGAAAGATACTCCAAAAATATATTTATTATATAATAACATCGTATAAAGTTCCTCATTAAAATATGCTATAAATATAGTATCTTGCTCAATTTAGTGTCTGTAGCATTTATGTAAAACTGAAATTTTCACTCAACAATAAACTCTGAGCTGAGTCAGCTCTTTTTTATTCGCATTTTTATGAGTGTGCAATATACTTTCCAGCTGTCATATTTTAATAGATGCTAACGTCTTCATCTAGCAGTCTTCAGGTTGTGACATGTGTCAACTCTATTTTCATACCACAAGAGATATTCCCTTGGATTAAAAAACTCCAGTAAGGCTTGATAATGTGTTTACACATCAAGCACACAGAATTCATTCCCTGATGTTCTGTTACACCTCCATTCAGTATTTTTTACTCTCTTCCCTTCAAAAATGCCCTCACTGGGAAATATTCTGCTTTCATTGCAACAGCTTTTTGTTCCAGAATTTAAGTTTTGGAGCAAGGAGTTACAACTACCTTCCTGGTGAAATACTGCAAGTCTAGAGTGCCCCAAAACTATCTTCTTAGAAAAGCTTCAAGGAAGATGATTATCAATTTATAAACTTATATGTGTATAACCGTAATATATATTCTCCTGGCTCTTTTCCAATTGGGTGCAGGTGAATCAGTCATTAAAAATTCCAAGTTTTCTCAAGCCTGCTAAAAGCCGTGTCCCACAGGCTTTGCCCATGCTACCCATGACTGATTCCCTCCCACTGGAACTTTGGAAGTTTCTTCATCCCTACTTCCTCTACATTTGTTCCTTTCTTTCCCTGGTACCTGCTTACTTTCAAGTGCAGGCTATACATCTGTCCTGTTTTCCAGTTCCACTTCCATGAAACATGCAATTATTACTTTTGCAACACTTCCTTTCCCACATCCTGTGCAAATCTAATTGATGCATGCAATTTCCCTTTAAACTCAATCAACAGCCAGACTTTTTTTTCTTTTATAGTTTACTCAGACCCTGAATGCTAATGGGAAGTAAATCTTTCAGATAAAACGCTTAATAGGTTTTCAGGGTCATGATCAAGGAGATTTTAAATTGAAATTACTAACAGCGTGATTCTTTTTCAAAATATTTTTTAAAGTATAGTCTTGCCTTTATCATATACAGTTTGGTTATAATAAGCATAGGTACAAATTTGAAATACTGAAAGATTTATAAGCAAGAGAGTTAAAGATTCAACCCCCCCTAAAATGTCTTAATAGCATCATATTTGCCAAATGAAAGTTCATACAGATTTTAAAAAGCTGTAAAAAACCAACCAACCTTGAATAAAAAACAGGTCAGAATCTTAAGAGATGACAGCAAGTCTTCAATTCAGACCAATAAGAACATGGACACTCTACTGAGAAAGCAAACCCTTGGCCTGAAACAGATTAAAGAAATAAAATGCTTTCATTCTTTACATATGTTTCTGTATTGGGTTTGTGTGGAGGTTTTTATAGCAGGGGCTGGGGGCTACAGGGGTGGTTCCTGTGAGAAGCTGCTAGAAGCTTCCTCAATCCAAGTTGCACCTGTCTCTGGCCAAGACCAAACCAATCAGTGCTGGTGGCAGTGCCTCTGCCATAACGTATTTAGGAGGGGGAAAAAAACTGCTACAGGACCTGCAGTGGAGAGAGGAGTGGGATGTGATTTGAGTGAGAAAACAGGGCAGACATAGAAGTCAGTGCAGAAAAGTGGGGAGGAGGTGCTTGGAGCAGAGGAGGACCCCAGACCAGAGCCCGAAGGAATCTGTGACTCCGTGGGAAGCCCAGGCTGGAACAAGCTGCTCCTGAATGACTGCACCCTGTGGAAGGGACCCATGTTGGAACAGTTCATGATAGACTGTAGCCTGTGGGAAGGACTCATATTGGAGAAATTGATGGAGGGCTGTGTCACACAGGAGGGACCCCACGTGGAGCAGGGGCAGAGTGTGAAGATCCTCCCCCTGAGGAGGAAGGAGCGGCAGAGACAACGGCTGATGAACTGACCAAAACTCCCATTCCCCATCCCCCTGTGCCATTGGCGGGGGGAGAAATCCAGAGTAAAGCTGATCATGGGAAGAAAGGAGGGGTGGGGAGAAGGTGTTTTTAAGATTTGGTTTTATATTTCATTATCTTACTCTGATGTGATTGGTAAGAAATTAAATTGATCTTTCTCTCCAAGCCGAGTCTGTTTTGCCCATGACCATAGCTGGTGAGCGATCCCTCCCTGTCTTTATCTCAACCGATGAGCCTTTCCTGATATTTTCTCCTCCGCATCCCACTGCAGGGGAGGAGTGAGCAAGTGGCCGCATGGTGCTGAGTTGCTGACTGGGCCTAAACTACGACAGTTTCTTGTCTATTTTTTTAATCTACCAAGATATAACAGTGTAAACTATTGTATACACAAAAAAGAACTTTAAAAAGAATGCCAAAGAGTTTTCACATGCTCTGGCCAGCCTTATTATAAGAATACTACTAATAATAATTACTTGGACATTTATAATAATAGCAATAATAACAACAATTATTATTATTATCGCAACAACAACAATAATGTTATACTGCTGGTTTTTTCAAGATAATTCAGGCAGTTATAACACTTTTTCTTTTCTCCACAACTAAAACTGCTGCTGTCTTCTTACCTTCCACTTTTCTAGCTAATTAACATTTCCTATCCAAAACTTTCCCAGATGCAAAATAAAAAACAAGTTGAAGATGATTCAACATTTTACATACAATAAATTAGCTTTATAATAGGCTGAAGTATAAAAAAAGCAGCTTCAGCTTCACAGTTTCAAAATCTCCTATGGCTTGTGTTGTTCATCATCAAATTCCACATATAATCTTGTGGCTTTCAGGCATTTCTACTTATGATGACAGTGCTTAAAAAGATGTTTTGTTTGTATAATTCATTTTAGCCTATTAGTTGTTAAGAGCCAACTATTATTTACAAAAGTGGTATGATATTACAGATTCTCTCTTATGTTTTATTGCCTTGTTTTGAAGTAATCTTCTCTATTTCCAAACATCCAGAGTTATTAATCATTTTTTCTATAAAAGTGTAAGTTATTATTGTGGCATTTATGTAAGAAAGTAATTTTTCTGTTTATTATGCAGAATACTACAGTTTCGTCTCTATAAAAAAAAATTCAAGGAGACTTTGAGGCCTTATGATGTAAAGGATGTGATAGAGCAATACTCAGCAGGGCATCTTGATATGCTTTCCAGAATAAAATATCTTCAGACAAGGTAAGAATCCTCTGGTAAAAGGGGAAAACATATATTGTGATGGCAAAATAGAAGTGCAGTCCTGGCAAGACACGTGAGATTCCTCTTAAAATTAACAGAGGGCTATTCAAGATAATAATGGCCTTTATGGCACAATTAATCCCTGCTTAAGCTAGATGCCTTCATTTGATCACTTGAATCTGCCTTACTGCCCCCCAGATTTTCTTCACTGTGTTGACTAGATCTCCACTGATTGTAATAAGGCAAAATCAGGGAGGTGAGTACTCCTTATTGTGTCTATGAACAGTGAGATGCTCGAGGAGGTTGATGAGACACTGACTGATGGCCCAGCAATGCTTGGGTGCCTAGCAGATACGTAGCTAGCTTTGTGAGGTTTGCCTAGAGCTTAAGTTCCATTTCCAAAACTCCATAGGGCACCAGGAAACCATGCAATGTACCTGCATGGATTGTCTGTGTGCAGATAACTGCTCTGTGGACTAGTGCTGACTGGTATCTGGTCAGTCTGGGATGTGGGCTGAATGAACAGAGGCTTGCTTGCACCTGAGTAGTTGGATATGCCAAATGACAGAATATAGTGGTATAGTAAAAGAGTGTAATTAAACATGCTGGAGCCTCCTAAACAATCCTTTTGGTTTTGTTCCAAGTAATCAGGTAGGATTCCTTGAGAAATTTCATTTACAGCTGGATTTTTCAAAGCAAAAGAATAATTAGTAAAGAAAAAAAGGTACTGTTATGTAGGCACAACAAGTGGTAGAAAGTCATTGGTTCATTGAGTATCAGGAATTGCCACCGTTTGCCAAATTTTGATTTTCAGTATCCAGCACAAAACCTCATAGGTGTCTCCTAACATTTTTAGGAATAACTGTTACTGGAGCTTTTTTGACACTCAAACTATTTACTTCTTTTGAAGGAAATGAAGCCATGTGTTTCCATATGTCAAAGTTTAGAAACAGTGAGCTAGATAATTACCATGAAATTACCAGGTAATTACAATTCCAGGTATTATGGACCCAGAATGGAACAAACACATCATGACCCTCAGTAGCTAAAATGTGCTTCCTTGTTGAATCTTTGGTAGTGTTTGCTGCAGAGGCGTATAGCATTTTCTGTCATGTATTAGCATTTAGACATGGACTTATGCAGTTGCACTTTTCTTTTTTTTCAGAGTAGATATGATTTTTACACCTGGACCTCCATCTACTCCCAAGCATAAGAAATTCCAAAAGGGAGGAGCTTTTTCTTACCCCTCACAACAGTCTCCCAGGTGAATTTTTATGCCTAGTATTTTGCACAGACCAAAACTGCAATAAAAAGTTCATTCATACCAATATGCCCTTCATTCATCCAGCCAGTCGCCTGTTATAGTGATAAAACTGAGAGGACATGTTGCTATAAGATATATATGTGTAAATGTAGAGCCAGAAAAACACTATCCTAAGAACAATGTAGAATGGAAGTCTAAATTTAATTGCTTCTTAATTGTCTAGCTCAGCTTCTTCATGGTTGGGAAATGTGATTTTATATGAAATACATACATTTGGTTGCTGAGGTGTTGAACTTCCAACATTCAAGTAGTAAACCCAGTGAAAACCTCAATAAAAAATCACCAGAAGTTTGAAGGTAAACTATCTTCAAACTATCATCCTGAAGTGAAAAAAATTTCATTATAGCCCCACCAAAAGGCAAGCCAAGAGTTTTAATAATGCTGCTTTTAAACCAATGATTGGTGAGAATTACTGAAAGTAAATTGCAGTACCAGGTTTGTGGGTGTGAGAGTTACAGCACGTTATTGTACTGCTGCATTCCTGGTAGCAAGAATTCAATAATAAATTACATTTCATCTGTTATTTAAAACTATCAAACTGTCAATAAATACCCATGAAAAACTATACAAGACCACCAACAATCTGTCCCCAAAGCTGTCGTGGTTGCTCAGAACAAACGTAATCTTACAGAAAATAACTTAACTTGCCTCTGTCTGGTATAGCCCACCCAGTGAAAAATCTAAAATCATGTAAATATCAAGACAGAGAGCTACATATATGGAAGAGGCAATGATCATTTGGGAAAGAAAGCAGATTGCAAAATTTCAATGACCCTATATCATCAGTAACCAGTGTGCAAAATCTGGCATGTGTTAGTCATAGTTTCTGCTTATAGTAAGATATATGCTTAGGTATATTTTGGATTTTGGCAGAAAGTGAACACCTGGTCCTGTTAAAATGAAAGTTTTAAGGTATATTTGTTCATTTTTTTTTCTAGAATTTGACATAGATTAATGAAAGACGTAGATTCCTTAGAGGTTGGTTTGGAACACTTGAGATAAAGATTGAACTTCATAATAACCATCCCAGATCCTAAAAAGTTATAAATCTAAGTTTTTAGTTAAGCAGATCTTCTTACCTCCTGAAGTTAGTCCATCTGAAGGAAAGGTGATAGGAAATTACATAGATGAAAATTTGTTCTGGAATCTACCTTAAATCTCCAGACCACACTGTCTCTTTTCAGCATGTCCTGTCTCTGCCACTTACTATTTGGTTTAATGAAACTGAGAAAAAAAAAAAAAAATCCGCTCAGCCTTGAAACTCAGATTCAGTCTTCAAAAACACTAAATAGAAACAATTAGATTCAAAAACACATTTCTACCTCTAGATCCACTATCTAGACTATCTCAACATTTTTCACACACCTGAAATTATTCCAACAAATCTGAGATTAATTTCACTTTCATTTTGAACTTGTTGTTTGCTTTTGTTTTTTCTTAATATTTTAATTAATTTTGAACTAAAACAATATAAAATCAGGAATATATTTTTTTAGAAATGCATTGAAATCACATAGAGGAGACTTTTGCTCGTGTTTGTATGATAGCTAATTAAATTGAATCATTTCTTAAATGAGTCTCCAAGGAGTTATATGAATATACCGTCGAGATGGTACTTCTGTTTTCTAATATAAATTGCTTACTATGATGCAAAGAAAACTTTAACACTAATTGAGTTATTCTTTATAGAAATGATCCATATGTAGCCAAAGCATCTACAGCAGATACTGAAGACCAAAGTATGATGGGCAAATTTGTTAAAGTTGAACGACAGGTATGTAATTTCATGGCAGTGATGGAGGCTGAGGCGCTTGTACAGGACTGATAAAACTGACATACATTCTGTTGAGTCTTTGTCTGACTGTCGTGGTTTAACTCCGG